TTTTGCGCAGAACTTCTTTCTGCGTAGGCGGCCTTCGGCCGCGCTTATGGATTATGACCCTTACTAAGTAGAATTCTCCTTTCTGTATTGCCGGAAAAGAAGGGCGGACGTATTTTTGCGCAGAACTTTTCTCTGCGTAGGCGGCTTTCAGCCGCGCTTAGGGATTAAAACCCTTACTAAGTAGAAGTAAATAATTCATATTAGAAAAAACGAAATTATCCATATGCACACTTTCGTTAGAAAACCGAAATAATGCATATAACAAAAACCGAAATAATGCATGCATGCACAATTTCAGTTCAAAACCGAAATAATGCATATGGCTAAAACCGAAATAAAGCATACATGCACAGTTTCGGATGAAAACCGAAATAATGCATATGTGAAAGACGAAGGTATGCATACATGCACAGTTTCGGTTGAAAACCGAAATAATGCATATAACAAAAACCGAAATAATGCATGCATGCACAGTTTCGGTTGAAAACCGAAATAACGCATATGAGAAACCCGAAGTAATGCATACATGCACAGTTTCGGTTGAAAACCGAAATAATGCATATGAGAAAATACCGAAATTATGCATATGCATACTTTCGTTTTAAAAGCGAAATAATGCATATGAAAAAAAACGAAGTAATGCATACATGCACAGTTTCGGTTTAAAACCGAAATAATGCATATGGTAAAAACCGAAATAAAGCATACATGCACAGTTTCGGTAGAAACCGAAATAATGTCTAAATGCACAGTTTCCATATGCGCAATTTCGGTGCCCCTCAGAAAGTGCTCCAATCAATCTTAAGTGTTAAGTGGAAAAAAAATACCTGAAATAATAAAGCTAAAATACATATATCAAAAATTCAAAATTTTAAATCTTTTAATTTCCTAAGGAAAAGGGTATATTTTGTTAAATTAATTTCGCCCCAATGCGAAACAATGCTAATCTAAGAAAAAAGCTACCTACGTACCAAATTTTAAGCAAATCGGACCATAAATACGATTTCTTCGATTGGATCGGTTCCTAGTCCAATTCCCGGAAAAAGGATCCTATATGCTAATCTAGGAAAAAAGCTACCTACGCACCAAATTTTAAGCAAATCGGACCATAACACGATTTTTTCGAATAGAATCCACTTCCCGGAAAAAAGGATCCTATATGCTAATCTAGGAAAAAAGCTACCTACGTCCCAAATTTTAAGCAAATCGGACCATGAATACGATTTTTTTGGAATAGATCGGTCCCTGGTCCACTTCTCGAAAAAATGATCTCATATGCTAATCCAGGCAATAAGCTACCTACGTACCGAATTTTGAGCAAATCTGACCATAAAAACGATTTTTTCGGATAGATAGGTCCCTGGTCCACTTCCTGGGAAAAAAGGATCCTATATGATAATCTAAGAAAAAAGCTACCTACGTACCAAATTTTAAGCAAATCGGATCATAAATACGATTTTTTCGAATAGATCGGGCCCTGGTATACTTCTCGGAAAAAAGGATCGTATATGCTAATCCAGGCAAAAAGCTACCTACATATCGAATTTTAAGCAAATCGGACCATAATAAGACTTTTTCCAATAGATCGGTCCCTGGTCCAACTACCGGAAAAAAGTGGTGAGCAAGGCCGAGGCCGAAAAGAGCCACATGCAAATTCTAAATTCTACAAAGAGCCAAAAAAAAGCAACAAAAATTAAAGACATTACATTTATTATTATTCTAATGCACGTACGATAGATATTAAAGAAAATTCAAAAGATCCCTGGCCAAATTTTCAAAATCTGGTTTTACGTCAGTTAAAGCCGTTCGTAACAGTCTGGTTAAATGTTGGTTAATCAATTGTGAACGGTAATTTGACTTTACGAATTTCATTGTAGACTACAACTCACAGTTATACGTTGTACCAAAAATTTAAAATATACGGCACGCAGCTGTTTTCAACAGCAGATATTTTTAATCTGGTACATGTTGCCGGAATTCAAGCAGTGGCAATGCATGTTGCATTTCCAGTGTCTTATCTTTTTTTCATTCTAAAAACACCAACTCTTTTTCGCTTTTCTTAAAAAGGAGTATTTCGGATATTGTAAATTCATCCTAAATTATGTTACATAGAAAACGGTTTGTGAAGTATGCAAACGTACATTTAAATAATTTCAAATCGGCAAATCTTTTTTCAAAATCTGCTGTAAATCATGTAGTTTTGCGGCATAGGGGTATAATTTATCCTCTATGACATGTGCAATATTTTTTTCTAGCCTTGGAAAATGATGAAATATTCTTTTTTTGAGATCATGTATAAAAAGACGTAGTTTAGCTTCAAAACTTAAAATAATTTGCGACAAATTAAAAGCATTTTTTTTCTCCTTGTAGAAACGAATTCAAGTTTTGCAAATGTTCCATCCAGCCCTGGCAGATGTACAGCTTTTTCCGTATGGTACGGATTTGCAGGGCTGAAAATGGTTGTACGAATTCAACGTACGGATTTTTAGCTTTCCGTCAAGATGTACGGATATTTGTACGGATTTTCG